CATGAAAAGGTCAGAAGATTACAAATGCTGACTTATTTTTTTGCCAAGCCATTTCAGAATATGGATTACCAATTGCATTTGAAGATCATTTAAAAAAAAAAAAAACCCATAACACACAACCACCACTCATCAACCTGGTGTTTCCCAATTCAAACATTGCAAAAGAATTTCCCGGTGGGTGAACAAAAGCCACTACAATAATAAAAGCACTTTCCAGCCACCATTCCGAATCAGTTGGGGAAAACAAGCCCGAACACTTTAATCGTAAATGACAGTAATGATGTTTGCAATGACAAAGAGGTTTGCATTAAACAAGGTACTCTTCATCAGACTCTTAAAGTTGTGAAAACAGACCTCTTGGCCATGGAAATATCTAACATAGTAAATGCAGAAAACCTGTTAAGTGCAATAAATTCTGGTTTTTTGCTAACCACCACATTCCATGGGAGAATGTTACTGGTTTCTCTTCTGACTATGCCAATGTCATGATAGGAAAAAACTCTGTTTTAAGTCAGATAAAACAGCAGTGGTAATTTTTTCATATAACTTAACAGATAATATTCTTCAGGCATTGGGACTGCTACACCTGCCTAAATAACTGGATTATGATGAAGACACAATTCTTAATCTACTGACATGATTTCCATCTGCAATGAAATCTGAGGGTGAAAAACAAACAATTGTGTATGAGTGGAACCAGTATCAGGTAGGTTCTGAACTGCCTGATTTTCAGCCAGAGGTCACAAAACTGAATGAATGGAAGGGGCGGGGAGCAAGTCCTGGATCTTAACAAAATGGGGACACAAGAAAAGTGGTATCCAACTCTTTCGAAATTGATTGCTACGCTTCTGATTCTTCCTTATGATCAGGCTAGCATGGAGTGTGTTTTCTCCCTAACGCAGAGAAACCACCATTTTTTATCTAGAATGTGGAGCAAAGTCTTATCTATTTTACCTGTAACAAAAACAAATGTTCTGGCCTGCTATGAACTGAAACCTTCCCTACAACTACCGGAAATTGCTAAACACACAGCACTCCAGCAGATGTCGTCATCCCAATTGCTGTCATCGTAACCTTAAACTGAGAAGCATAGCAACATAGTGATGATAACAGGTAGGATTTTTTTCAAGTTTTCAAGGCATTTTCAGATGCAGTAATATTGTTTTTGTAACGAGCTCTGACCTGTTAGAAATTAAATAAGCACCTAATGAGGTTTATAAGATGTGTGTGTGTGTGTGTGTGTGTGCGCGCGCGCACCCACCCACATACACACACAGGACCCTCGCTAGAACACGTGCCTATATAGCGCAAATTTGCATATAACACGGCCATGAATCCCAAATTTAATTACTTTAATTGGAATTCATTTTACACGCGGTCCCCATGTTAACCCGGTACCAAGCATGGATCCCAAATCCTGCGTCCTAGCGAGGGTCCGGTGTATATTTATGATTTATATACCAAATCTCTTGATTTTTAAGACAGTGAGGTTGGTAACACTGCATAATGGGTTAAAATGGGGAAAGGATTTGTTTTCCATTATAAGTTTGTTATGAAGATATTGTCCTTTGTAAGAAATGTAACAGGAGTAAAATATAATGTAAAATTAAACAAAAAAACAAAAAGATATCATGCATAAAACAGAATATTTCAGGGAAATCAGGCAATATATAACACCCAACTCAACAGCTTCACAAGGCTTAGCAGTAGACTTTAATATACCACAGTTTATAAATACACTTAATCTGACATTCTCTCCTTCACATGATAGAAGAGCATGAAAATGTGTAAATCAGAACACATGCATGAGCTGTACGGAATCCAAAGACAGTATTTAGACAGGACTCTACTACAGGTAGCATTCCATGACCTGCTGACTTCAGAGTGAGTTTGGTTACATACTCTGACTGGTTAACTAGTGCTCCCTGTTAACTGGGTTTGTTAGAAAAAGAGGAGACAATGTGGGGAGAGGATGTTTAAGTTAATTTGTGCAGCTCTCTAATTCTTTAAAACACTCTTTTTCTCGCCCAAAGCTATAGTTAGACCTGGACAGAATACACAGCCACAAACCTAGGAAACTGAACATCTATTTCAGGTTCAAAAAGGTAAAGAGCTGCATTTCAAATGATTTTTCAAAGTAAATTACTGCAAAGGGGGGCACTGGACAGGATTTACAAAGGGATATTACATCGTTAAGATAGCTATTTAAACACAAACTAGACATACTTTATCAATAAATGTTGAAGTACATGAATAGCTATGTCACAACACTATAGTTAACCTTTAAATCCTCTGTTGGCTGAAAGTTCTTGAAAGTCAATCAATAAAAATGAAGGGTTTCTGTAGATCTCATAACAGCGTTAGAGAAGTGCTGTGATGTGTATCAATGTTTGCAACTACACGGTTTTTCCTTTCCTAAAGCCAGTAACACAAAACTCAAACTGGACTATTTTAATGTGAGTACATTACACATTTGTAAACATATTCACACATTTCAGAACACTACACACAATTATGCTGTAAATATCTTTTTTTCCCCATGGAACAATTTCACTATAACAGTGACCTGAATTGCATCTTGGACACTGCAATCATTAAAGACAATGTGGGAGTCTCATTCTACCTCAATGAAGTTTACTTTAGAGTTCAGTACAGGTAAAGATAATTGAACAAAACAAAATGGCTAAAACTAGTACTGGTACAAGAAATCCAGTTTGATTACCAATTGCCGTATAAAAATCTGCTACAGAATTTATTAGACACTAGCATCCACACTGTCGAAGTGTTTTACTCACTTAAATAAATGTACCATAATATTTAAAACCCTTACAATAGAGGTTTTATCAGAGGCTGATTGGCCAAGGCCAGGATGCTATGCTACAGATACAGGCCACAGTGGACATGAATCCTCCCAAATATCCTCCCTTCAGATCCTCAACCAGCCTCTTTTCTAGGGTAGACACAGCCTTTTCTCACTATCTGGTAAGTGGGCTGTATTTTTAATAAAGAGAGAATTCAAATTTGTTCCCAGCTAGGCAAAAATATAGGCCACTTGTTAGACAGGTCAGGATTCTTTCAGCACTCCAAGCACTCACAGGCCATCCATCTCAGGTTCAAAAACAAACACACACCTTTTTAAAAACAGAAAGAACCTACTGCCACAGTACAAGCTAGAGATTACTCATACCTACTATGATGAATTGGAGTTATGTCTGTAAACTTATAAATTCGGATAATATTGTGAAGGTGTTGTCGAGCTGTCTGGAGTGGCTCACGACTGTGATTGCCAACCTCAGGGCAGATAGTCAAGAAGCAGGGCACAAACCCCAAATCGGTTGTGAGTTCTATACTTAGAGCTCACCAAGTAACAAGTGTTAACTCAAGCACTATAGCTGCCTAACCATGGAGTCATAACGTTGGGTGCTCCAGTCTATCTTGCCATGGCAAGCTTGCTTTTGTGATAGGTGGTCCCTTATACCAAAAAAAAAGAAAAAAAGAAGAGTTCAGGTTACTCCCAGTCCGAAAGGGCAGTCACTTACCCCATGTCAATTTCACCTTAGACCTCACACTAAAGACAACACTTGTAGCCAATCCTATAATAGAGTTATTTACAAGGTTGAAGCAGATAAACATTAACTCATTTATGTGTATCAGTCTTAGGTTTCAAACAGTAATAGAAACTGCTGTAATATGCAAGCTCTATTTGTTCTTTAGGGCTAATCTAAGCTAAGCAGCTTGGGGATCCCTTGCTTATGCTAAGAAACATTATCCTCTCCAAATTTCAAGAAGCATATGGATACAGATCCTTCAGATCAGGGATTTTTATTCCCTTTCCCCAGTGTTCAAACTGTGATGGAATAAGAGGTTGTGTCCATTCCCTCTTCATGGATGCGTGGGGAGCAATCAACAAAGTCTGATGTTCCGTAATGATTTGTGCAGTGTCTGTGGGCCTTCTGTTTTGGGCAGGAGATGACACCTCCAGCAGTAAACTAGCATTTCACACTTGTTAATGCTTCTCTGACTGTGGGGGTTTCCAGTTTCCTAGCAACCACTTTTATAGTTACAAAGCAAATACTTACATATTACCTTATAATACAATACAGATAGTACAAGTGAGATTAATGTATGCAGCAACTCACAAGGATTTCATAAAATGCAAATAGTAAAAAATACTCTATAAATCTAATACCCATTTTAACAATAGCAACACACAGGTGAGCCACACTGGTTTCCAGCTATGCATTTGTCAGTGTTCAGTGAGGCCTAGGGCCCTTGGCATGAGCTAGCACCTGGTCTGCCAGTGTCAGTTGTTTTATGAAAAACACCTGAGTCATGAGTGCTATATTTATATATATATATATATATATATATACACACACACACACACACCCCGTTGCTGACAGGCCCTGTAGCTGTAGCTGGTATGCAGCAGACAGATACAATGTTCACTGATTTACTAGGTAAACACATTAGAAAACCTTCACACTTCCATGATGATCTAGAATTTGGTGGATGAGGCACATATTTTAGGAGTTCTGTCCTTTTAATATTTAAAATCTAATTATGATGTTTTGTTGGTGTATTGGTCAAGATATATGCTTTTCTTTTCATAAGCTTATTGCTAGCCCTACTAGAAGAGTAGTTTTGTTGATGACAGTAAGTTACTTTAAAGAAATTTACCAATACCGTTTTTCTTTTTCAAGATGGACTATGGAAGTGGGTGGGGAGAAGGAAATCTAAGACATTGACAAAAAAGGACAGCAGCTGTTTTGCCTAAATAACCAGTGCAGGAGAGAAACAATGCACTATTAGGTACAATTAGTGAGGTTTATAAATCAGAACATAACACAACAAAAAGAATAAAATGCAGTTGGAAAGGCAAGATAATCATATGGCTAGGTTATTTCTAATTCACACATTTCTGTAACATCCGCATGCCACGTAATGGGACATTATTTCCTATCTGTTTGTACAAAACAGGATTCTATCATCAATTATACCTGTTCAAGAACTTCTCTGTAAGTGATAGCCTGTTTAGTGTTTGTCACAGGACTATCATAGATAACAGCAATCTTGTCTGCATGTCCACTCTCAACATGACGATCTACAGCATTATAACAAATATTCAGCTCTCCATCCACAAACCTGAAAGAGAAAAAGTACAATGTTAGATAACGGTCTTTCCAAAGTAACTAGACTAATTTCTGGGGAGAAGAGATAACATTCAGTCAGATAACTGATGAAACATTGTCTTCAAATCAGAAGGCCCCTGCTTCTGAAGTTCTGATTACTTCTATTGCCAACTTATGTTGGTATAACTATGTTTCTCAGGGGTGTGGAAAATCCACACCACGAGCAACATAGTTATACCAACCTAACCCCCAGTGTTGACAGCATGTGTTGGTGGGAGGTCGTCTCCCATCGAAATAGCTTCCGCCGCTCAGGGAACAGGAGTATCTACGCTGACGGGAGCTCTCCTGTTGGCGTAGGTAGCATCTTCTCCAGGCGCTACAGCAGCAGCTCTGTAAGTGTAGACAAGCCCCAAGTCAAAAAGGATTTGCTCAAAAATGGGTAAATAAGCCTATTCACTGTACTTTAACTGCATAAAGACCAGAAATCTGCAAAATGAGAGTTATGATCTCTTCAATAGCCAGATATTTACAGAGAACTGTTGATTAAAAACAGTTTCACAGACTTGGAATTTGTTTTTGTTGTAATTTTATATAGAGATTATTCAAATCTAGTATAATGCTGAAATACAAAACTATACAAAAGTGTGTATTCAAAAAGGACACTTAAGTTGAAAAATAGACAATATAAAAAAAAAGTGTACTTCAAAAGAGGAGCTTTGAATTTCAGTCCTATTCCCCTGCCTGCCATCTCCCCAGCCATGGTCCCCTTTGTGGGACTTGGCTTGTATATCCCTCTCCCAATCTGTGCATATACCCCAATACAAGAGTGAAAGACGAACAGCTAAACCGAGCAGAAGGAAAGCATTTATGAACCCTGTGATCCCAGGAGGATGCTCTAAACAGTACCAGGGTGAAACTGCCCCATAGGAAGAGAGAGGCTTAAAGTGGCATACTTTTACCACAACACCCTTGGCTGGGTACTGCACTGGACACAACTCAAACTCAACAATTAGGTCCATTTTGAGCAAGGGGCGGGGGGGGAACAAGTAAATAAATAAATAAATAAAATAAAATAAAGATTAGGGTCCCTTTTTTCATCTCAATAAAGAGACTGATTTAAATATTTGCATGTATGTAGCATCTTTCATCACAGGTTCACAACTATTAAACCTAATCTGGTTGGTAATGACCTGGAGTTACCACCTAAGGGCTGTTCAGTTCCCTACCTGAAACAAGTTTGATTTTAATTTTGTTCCTTATGCATTCCACAGAAAAGCAGCATCAGAATTGGCACCCTATTCTATTCCTGGCAAATTCAATAAGGAAAAAAGGACAGAGTGGGTATAGAGACTGAAATACCATTTCTAGGGGTAAAGGGTTCCTCCAAATTAGCATAAATGTTGTTACCAGAGTAATGTCAGGTAGTCTGTGAATAATGGACTTCTGTCTCCAGATTTATCAGACCAACAGCTTTCACACATATAAACTAACCCCTCCTTAGTCCTAAACGAGTCTGCCTTTCCATCTGCAAGACAAGCCATCTAGTTTTTAGGACTGCAGATGTTCTTAACCCAATTCTAATGTATCATCTTACAATAAGGGTACATTTTTAAACACAATATTAAATGAGAGTTAAAGCTAAAGCTAAAATAAACAAAAATATGTTTGTACCCTTTTTTAAAAGGCTGTTTTTTCTGATGTGATTATATTACAAGAGATTGAATCCAGACTTGGAGCTCCAACTTCCCAGCTCTCAACTGATGTTTAACCTGACTGTTGACAACTTTCCTTGTTGCTTTTGATAAGAGTTTAAGTTATACCAAACAGCTGAGAGCAAAGCAAACAAGATACTTTCACTTTCTGCTCCTTTTGCATCAGCACAATGATACAGTGTATGGATTTTAAACCCTGAAGAAATATTTACTTACAAATAATGTTAGTTCATTTTTTAAAATTTCACAAAAAAATTTCTAATTAAAGTTGTGGAAAGCCTTTTATTTAAAAATTTTAAAACCCTTTGTTTTAGAACTAGCCAGCTTCTATTCAAATTTATCTACTTTAATACATTTACTTCTTAAAAAAATGTATATATTATATACATCTGTTCTGATTCTTGACGAGTTCAGCACAAACTTAAGCTATGTCTACACTACAGACCTTACAGTGGCATACCTGTATCGCTGCAACTGCACCACTCCTATGGAATCCCTGTCATTCCCTCCCCTGGAAGCCTATTCCAGTGCTTAACTATCCTTTTAGTTAGAAAGTTTCTTCCTAATATCTAACCTATATCTCCCTTGCTGCAAATTAAGCTGATTACTTCTTGTACTACCTTCAGTAGACCTGGAGAACAAATTTATCACTGTCCTCTTTATAACAGCCCTTAATATATTTAAAGACTCTCATCAGATATCCCCAGAATCTTTTTTCCCTGAAGATTAAAAATGCCTGGTTTGGTTTTGTTTTGTAAACCTTGCCACATAGGTCAGATTCTCTAAACCTTTTATCATTTTTGTTGCTCTCCTCTAGACTCTCTCTAGTTTGTCCACATCTTTCTTAAAGTGTGGCTCCCCATATCCCACAGTATTCCAGCTAAGGCCTCAGCAGTGCTAAGTAGAGCAGGTCATGTGTAGTTAGGAACAATTGCTCTGAAGTTTTCAAGCAAGCATCTTCCTCATCCTCCAACATATCCTTTGATGTCCCATGTAGTTACTGCTAGATTCTTTTTTGGCAATTGCCACTACACCATATTTTTTCTCCCTATCTTTTCCCACAATAGTGAAAAAATCAAGTGTTCTTCCGAGTTTCTTAAAAGTTGTTTAAGAGAAGCCGTACTTCATGATTAGGGTTCCGTGTTGGTCATGGAAGTCGCGCAAGTCACAGATTCCATGATCTCTACGACTTCTGCAGAGGCCAGTGTGGCTGACGCCAGGGCCAGCTGCACCAGCCGCTGCTGGAGCTGCCCCAAGCAGCTGGCCCTGGGGACCACTTGAGCAGTGGCCCATGTGGCTGGCCCTGAGGACCGCCCGAGCAGCGGTGACTAAATGGTAGCCTTAGTCATGGTGTACAATTATTACTAATTTTAGAAACTCATGACCCTATGAATCATTCATGCATCAAGATCTAAAATTCTCACCAACTAATGTAACAATAGTATTATTCAACATGATTTAATACCCAGCTCAGGAGTTGACCACTTGTATATATAAAATTTTAAAAATAATAAAAAGAAGCTCCAATAAAGAGCAGTTTCTCTTGGGGCAACTAACTCTTTTAGAGCATATGAACAACTAATAACTCAAATTAAAAGCTATGTCTGAACTGTTGTATTTCCTCTTGCACTGAAATGTCTGTAAGCTTTATGTAAGAGGTTTTTTTGGCATCATTAAACTTAGGTGTTATTCACTCATTTAATGTTTTTGGCTTCTGTCATAAATATAAAGGGAAGGGTAATCACCTTTCTGTATACAGAACTATAAAATCCCTCCTGGCCAGAGGCAAAACCCTTTCACCTGTAAAGCGTTAAGAAGCTAGGATAACCTCGCTGGCACCTGACCAAAGTGACCAATGAGGAGACAAGTTACTTTCAAAGCTGGAAGTGAGGAGGAAAACAAAGGGTCTGTCTGTCTGTCTGTGTGATGCTTTTGCTGGGACCAGGTCACGAATGCTCTTCAGAACTTCTGTTAAGTTAGTAAGTAATCTAGCTAGAAATGTGTTCGATTTCCTTTTGTTTAAATGGCTGGTAAATAAGCTGTGCTGAATGGAATGTATATTCCTGTTCTTGTGTCTTTTTGTAACTTAAGGTTTTGCCTAGAGGGAGTCTCTATGTTTTGAATCTGATTACCCTGTAAGGTATTTACCATATTGATTTTACAGAGGCGATTCTTTTACCTTTTCTTTAATTAAAATTCTTCTTTTAAGATCCTGATTGCTTTTTCATTGTTCTTAAGATCCCAGGGTTTGGGTCTGTGTTCACCTATGCAAATTGGGGAGGATTTTTATCAAGCCTTCCCCAGGAAAGGGGGTGTAGGGCTTAGACGTCTCCAAGCGGGCTCTTTCCCTGTTCTTTGTTTAACACGCTTGGTAGTGGCAGCATACAGTTCAAGGACAAGGCAAAGTTTGTACCTTGGAGGAAGTTTTTAACCTAAGCTGGTAAGAATAAGCTTATGGGGTCTTTCATGCAGGTCCCCACATCTGTACCCTAGAGTTCAGAGTGGGGAAGGAACCTTGACAGCTTCTGTGAAAGCTTTCTGAAAGAAATACTTCCCAATCTGGTCTTCTGTTTTTGCTAGGTTATGAAAACTTCTTTAAATTTTAAACTAATGATGCCCTTCTTCTCAAGTAGGTTCACTGTGATCATTTCAAAAAAACCTTTACGCTTGATGAAACAAAAAAGAAAAAAAAGAAAAAAATTTTATGTCGTGCAAGTCTAAATTCCATTTTCTAAATAAAATATTGAAGAGAAGGTAATGGTTTCCCATCCATAAGTCCATTACACTAAGCAGCTCTTCTGTGAGAAAAGAGCAAGTCCCATTAGACTTTTCACTTTATCAGACAGAGGCTGCTGTCAGCATCTGAGAGAGATAAGGACTGACTTTGCTTGCTCTCAGTAATTTTCAGTACATCAAATCAGAGTATCTTCAGACTTCTAGAGAAGCTGACCCACTTATCAAGCTCCAGAGGCTATTTCATTCAAAACTTCCAGAATGAAAACCTCACTGAATGCTGATTTGTTACCATTCACGATGATTCTTTCATCCTTTGCATGATGGTATATTAAGCTTTTTAAATGGCTAATTGTTGTGTATTTGGTTGTTGTGGTAATAGCACCTTGTTGTTGCTATGGCAACTGAGTTACATTATTAGGGGCTAGCCCAGCCAGTTTTGGCTGGTTTGATTAGTTCAATGTGTGAAAATAAATGGCTGCTTTCATGGCTCACAGCTCTCTGTGTCTCAAGTGATTTTCTTTCTAAAACTGCTGCCCCCAAGGATGCAACAAAGTGGCGACGAGGA